TCTACAATCAAATGGCCCCGCAGCACTTGTGTGTAAAAAGCGAAATGTTGCTCAGCAATTATTTATCCACCGCTTCTGAAACTAATCAGTCGTTTTCTGGTAACACGGTTTCTCGTGATTATCACCGATTTCCCAGTTTGACAAAATTAGCAGATCATACCATGAATGGAGCAATCTGGTAACACTCTGGTCATTATCTGTTTTGCCTTTATAGCCGGGAAACGTTTATTGGTTTATGTAGCCAGTAAAGGTCACCATTTGATCCAAGCATTATGACCGAGAAAAAGCTTGTGATATGCCTTCAAATTTAGTCTGTCACACCTTCAGTAACATTATACAGAAAGTCTGCCATGTCTTTAACCATACATGCAAAGCTAAATGATGACATTTATTTTCGAGGAAGGAGATTATCAGCCAGTCAGTCCACAATTCTGTTTCGTTCACTATACTAATTTATTTCCAAAATGAAAAAAACGTATCTGGAAAACGGCTGAGGGCCAGTTTGAAACAATCTTGGGACACTGAACTCAGCTCATGGTAACTGACAGTAATATCCACTCCGAAAAATCGTCATTTGCCCAAAATTGACTTCAAGCACAGGGGATTCCACAATCTGGGATGTCTTTTACCATTAGGAGAAACCTGTCAAAGTCGAAAGATTCTTCTCTGACTGTAGATTGTCGAATATGGTTGCCTTTGGGGAACCAGTTTTTGGAGTCTTTCATGTGGGTCAGACATTTCACTTAAAAGGTTGTGTGTTTCAAAACAAGCGCTGTTAATGCCGTCCCAAGAACACATGGGTCGAACAGTGATGTTCAAGACCCGTTTCAAAACCAGAAGGGATGAAGATAATACGCTCATACTTGGAGATGTCTCGTGGGGATCCAGTAATAATGTATTTCTGGCTCAATGTTTAAATTAATAATAAGATTCGGTTTACTACGTTCACTACAGCTTGTATGCCTTCGTTGGTCCTGATTGCCCATTGTGCATCAATCCGTTTAGTACTGCATTGTTTTCCTTTCGGGTTGCCAAGTTTTTTAACGTCGCGGATCTTTTTGTTCCTTAAGTTTATGACAGAGGATAATCTCTTTATTGAAACCAACTTTTGCTTGGAGTTAGTTTAGTTGATGGCAAGCATTTTCTGTGGAAATGGAACTATTTGTTTTGTTTCAAAAGGGCTGGGAAATAATCGATGGGTTTCTAGATGTTTACCAAGCCCTCCTGAAACCATGACTTCTCAGTTGGTTCAATTTATTTCGATTGATTCGAGATGTCTAATTTTCATCAGCCGACAGGCTTAACAGAGCTAAGCGGCAGACAGTTGTCCCTTGCGATTCTTTGCTCAGTCAACTTAAAGTTGCATCGCTGTTTACTAAATATGTTCTCCGAAAAAGCCCATTCCAACCCCAGGTTTTATACCTTAAGTCTCCTGTTTGTTTCGAAAGTATCCTTTCGCCTTAGTTGCTATTCAGGTCCGCACGATAAACCATTTCTGTAGTATAAGTGGAATGTCCATTCTGCTTCGTCTTATTGTTACACTTTCTATAGTCCAGTGCTGATCATCCGTTCAACGCAGTGGTGTTTACAGGTTTCAGTGGATCCTAATCGCTGGTTCGGGACCACTGCAAATCCATTACTGTCGCAGATGAGGCCAAGGTTCATAGTTTTTCCCAAAATGTGATCGGAAAACAGTTTTCATAGTCCACAGAAGTGTTCTGCGTGCTTTCTATCAGGGGCTGAAATCCCCAAAATCTAGGGGGGAATGCATACTGTCTGTTATCATTTTCGAAAAATTTTGGTGACAATCGGTAGATTTATTGCCGAGCAACGTTTCGCTTTGGACACAAAGGCTTCGTCAGGCCAAGTGACTAGGTTCCGAGGTTGATCGAGATTTAAGGCAGAAGGAGAACCAATCAGCTAAGTCAAGCTAAATCTCTGTTGGGTGTCGGCCGAGGGATTTTAGTGTGTTAGAGTGGTTGAACAAGTGTTGGGTCGGTGGGGAAACCTACATGTGTTTGGGTCCTGCCTAGGGTCTAGTTCTTCTGGTTCGGTTCATTTGATGGTTCCTCTTCTACTTCGTTT